CCCCGCTCCTCCCGGCACCTCTCAGGGTTAGCCGCCTGGCTCGCCTTCCTCCAGCCCAGCCAGGGGACGTGGAGGTTTGCAGAATACGCAGACCTGGGGGGTCTTGCTCTCAGCCCCTGCCTCTTGGTGGATTCCAGGGCTACGCTGGGCAGTAAGAAGTACGTTGCCCATCCCGTGGGGTGAGGGCAGGCAGGAATATGTTGGTGGAGGAGGAAGGTCACCACAGCCGGGCACTCTCGCTGGGGTGACGTGCAGCTCTCCCCTCCTTTGGCTCCAGGATCCTCACTAGAGGGAAACCAGCCAGGGTCACCACGTCTCTCTTCTCTCCCATCACATGCACTAAACAGCATCCTGCCCTTGAGGTGTCAGGGGCGTTTTGCCAGCAGAAAGCCCCACAGCATACAGAAACTCCTTGCTGTTGGGCCTGGCCAGCCACTGACACTGGCTGACGTTTCTTTCACAGTCCTGCAGTGAGGAAACTCCTCCAGCTCCACCTGGACATAGCAATGGAGGGACCACTGCTTTGACCACTCTGGTGCCTCCACTGCTGCAGAGCACAAGTGAAGCAGAAGAGAGATGTGGGCAGATGGCACCGATCAAAATCAGATGCAGGCTCCAGAGACATCCAGAGAAGTCACTGCCAAGGTCACAGCTTTTCTGTCTCTTTACATCTTTTGAACGGCTGTTGTGAGCATTTACACTGAAGAGCAATGGAGCTGTAGCAGCAATGGTGCTACAAACCTGCTTGGACTAGTTTAATCTCACCGGCTGACTGGGACCAGTGGAGACAGGACTCCAGCATTGCCGCTGTTCCAGCAATCAGTCCTTCCTCTGTGAAACCTTCCACCCACAGCCACATCAGCCATGATGGCTATGAAAAAGCCATTCAACAAAGCCATTCAAAAGGTGCTTGGACTTTCAAACACAATTCCTTGACCCGAAAAAGCTCCTTGCCCAGCACTGCCAAAGTCCCCAGCCAGGCTGAAGCTACCAGGGACCACGCAAGTTCTCTGACCAACGCCATCAAACCACAGGAGGAAACAGAAACACCTCCTAGCAGGGGCTCAACCCGTAGTTTTCATTGCATGCAAGAAGGCAAAGAGGGGCCATCAATAACTGGCAGTGCCTTGATATGCTGTTCCTCCCCACTGCTAGGAGCAAGAACGATGCTTGAGCACGACTGGGGAGACAGACCAAACCCCTGCTGATCACACACAGTTGAGTTTCCTTAAGCTCACAGCACAAACGCCTCCAGACAAATGCTCCCTGGGCAGCAAAAGGCAAAACCTGACTCTGGAGCCCTTCTAAATTTCAAGGCCTTGTTTCAAAGCAAGAAGCAAACAACAGTTCTCAATGACATGGAAATAAAGAGTTTTCCAACTTATTTCTTGTGGGCAAAGCAATATATTTTCATCCAATCTCCCTCTTGGAAATGGTCAGTTTTAGCTGAAATCAAACGTGCATGCGTAGAGAAATCGCAAATCAGCCCAAGGCAGACACCCAGCGTGGAAACTTAAACCCCAGCACTTAAGAGTCTGGCAAGGTCATCAGCAAGCAAGAACATGGCCTTGTACCATGTGGTAGTTGTAAATTTTAAAAAGCGCATAACTCACTGCACTGAGGCAGATGAAAAGACAAACCTGCTAAAAGGAGCTACACATACTGAAGTGGGAAAAATGTTTTTACCTGTGTCTTGCCTCATCTCTGCTGCTAGGCTTAAATGGGAAAACTTTCAGCAAACTTTACAGATATTAGTATCCACCTTATTAATGAATTAGCTTTCTCTCTGTACACGTATATAATTATCTACATGCACATATATGCAAAGAGAAAGATCTTTATTGTTTACAATTATTATTTTTTTAATACCATGGGGGAACAGGGATCTGCTTTCAGTTCCCGTAAGGTCAGCGTTTGCTGTATCGATTGAGTATTACCCACATGAACGGGGAAAAGCAGGCAAGGGAGCACTCAGCTGTGGATGCTGCGCTTGGAGGTGCAGGACTTGGCTCAGCCCAGGCATCTGCAAATCTTGTTCATGCCACAGGCAAACGCCACTCTGCTCAGTGCCTGGGGCCCCGCCCCAGACCTCTTACTTGATGCTGAAAAAGGACATTTCATCATCCAGACTGTACACGAGATGCCCCTGACAGCGCCTGCCCTTTGGGAGCCTACACCAGTGCGCAGAGCGAGGCAGCGGTTACAGCCAGCAGCTTTCCAGCACGCTCGCAGCAGACCAGGGCACACCGCTGGGTCTCGGTGACAGGGTGATGCCCCTGTGGTGGTGGCAGCTTCCCACCACCCCTAGACCCCTTTCCCTGTCGTGGCCACCCTCCCTCTCCGCTCACAGGGGAAGGTGAGGGGAAGGCCATGCTCCTGCGCCCGCAGGCATCCCTCATCCTGGGGCTCACGATGCCATGAGAGGCGTGGGGGCACGTTCTTGCACACGCAGTGCTAACCCCGCACCAAACCATCCATCCCTCTAGGGCATGGGCATGGCTACCATCAGCTCCATCTCCTCCAGACAGGTGGGTGCAGCTTTGCCCAGCCCAGGACGCCCAGTAAAACCTCCAGTGCCGAGAGCCGAGGTTTGTGCTGTGGTGGCAGCAAGCCCCTCCAGCAGCTGCGGATTACAGCCCCCAGATTCATCCCTGCCTGGGGGGCTGAAGGGCAGCAGGGGGAGGAGAAGGAGAGAAACAAACAGCCTTGCAGAAGAGAGGCCGACAGAGAGATGGGCGAGAAGCCAGCTGGGGAGGAAGGGATGGAGGGAGCAGGACAGCAGATCAGATGGAGGCTTAAAAAGTGAACAAGACGGGGAAAGGAACTGATACGAGACAAGAGATTCATGTTGAGGGAATGGGAATGGCCAGGAAAGAGAAGGTAGGGCAGGAAAGGCAAAAAGCAGTCCCTGCGTCCTGCTGCGGCAAGGATGGGGATGGCCTTGGGTGGGCTGCAGGGACCGGGTGGATGAGAAGCCATCAAGAGAAACTCACAGCCAGAACGACGAGACCCAGTCCAGCCGTGTGCGTGGGGTCAGAGAGGACAGCGGGCACCGACCTGCCCCCCACCCCAGAACCCTCCGCTGCGGATGGCACAAGGTGACGTGTCCTGGCTTGTGCTGCTCGCTGCCAGCTCCTGCTGTCCCCTTAGCACTTCCTCTGGCAACACCCTCCATCCTGCAGCTGCCCAAATCCCTCGCCCTGCCACCTCTAACCCCAGCACCGCTGACTGAGAGCGCCCTGGGGTGAAGGGAGAGCAGATTCACCCGCAGCACCCTTGCGCAGACAGGCTCCCCATGGGTGCCCCTCCACCTCTGGGTGAGCAGGTGGAAGGAGGAGGAGGGAGGCATCAAACGCAGCCCTCTGGAAGACGGTTGGGGCTTCTCTGGTTTGGTTGTTTCACTGGGGTTTTGTTTGTGTGTTTGTTTGCTGGTTTTCCCGGCGCCTCAGCAGAAAGCACAATGCGGGCTGTCCTCCAGCTGCAGCTGACGGGGCCGGCCCTCCGCACGAGCCAGGGGAGGCAGGGAGAGGGAAGGAGATTGCTGCTGGTGAAACGCAGGCTCCAGCTCCCCAGGACAAGAAGGCACCCCAAGCAAGGCTGGCAGGGCTGGGGGGACAGGTGAGGAGGGGACCTTGCAGCCAGGGCCATAGAGGCAGGGTGGCATTGCCATCTGGGCACAGGGCTAGGAAAGGGAGCTGGTGGTGAGCAGGGTCCATGGAGATCCCCCAGATCCTGGTGGGCTCTGCTTGCTTTCACTGTTACCCCTTCCCTGCTGGCTAACCTACTTCTTGTACCCCAAAAGGAGCTGCAGATCATTGCTGGGAAGCGCATCTTTCTTGCCTGAAGGAAACCAACTTTCCCACTGCTCTCTCTGTACCCATAACGCCTCATCCCAGCACTGCCTTGGACATGCTGATAACGGCAGGTCAATGTCTACACCAGAATTGCCCAGAAGGAAGAGCAGGCATGGGTGGAGAAAGGATGCAGGACCAGAAAACAGTGAGAGAAAGGGAGTTTGGGGAAAAGAGATGGAAAGAGGGAGGAACTGAGGTACGGAAGTAAATCACAGCTGCATGGAAAAACCAGGAGTGTTGACAGACAGGAACAAGATCAAGAGGTAGACAAGGAGGGACAGTGCCCATAAAGGACTTGTGTGCCAGGAGAAGCACAGGAGCTCTTTTACCCGTGGATCTGGGAAGGGGATGAAGCATCATTCCT